GGTGACCTCCTGGGAGCAGAGGACCACCAGGTTGCTTATGGAAGGGTGAACCGGCCCAGGTCGGAAACGGAGCAGGTCAAAACTCCCATGCTGATCAGTAGTGTGATCGCGCCTGTGAATAGCCACTGCATTCCAGCCTGGGCAACATAGCGAGACCCCATCTCTTTTTATATTATTTAAAAAAAGAAAAATATATACCTAAAATCCTTTTTTTGAGGGGTAGGAGGATGGAGGTGGCATATATGTTGATACTGCAGTGGCCAGCAGGACCTTGAGAAGTGGACAGATTAAAAAATGTAGGCCGGGCATGGTGGCTAACACCTGTAATCACAGCACTTTGGGAGGCCAAGGTGGGAGGTTGGGTTGAGCCCAAGAATTCAAGAACAGCCTGGGCAACGAAGTGAGACACCTGTTTCTACAAAAAGTTAACTAAGCATAGTGGTGTATACTTGTGGTCCCAGCTACATAGGAGGCTGAAGCAGGAAGATTGCTTGTGCCTGGGAGGTGGAGGCTGTAGTGAGCTGCAGCCTGGACACAGAATGAGACCCTGTCTCAAAAAATAAAATAAAATGGAATGCAGATTGAAATGTTAAATACAGCCTATCCATAATCTCCTACCTCATACCCTGAACCAAAATATTGCTACTTTTGGTTAAGTTCAGAAAAACTGAATGCTGAGTTAAATCATTGATTCCTAGTCTTGAACATACAATACCAGCATTAACAGTATTTATGTATTTCATATTAATTATAAACAACCGTCAATTGCCCAATGGTTGCTATTTGCCAAGATATATCTAGATTATTATCATTTGATTATTACTAAGGTCTGTATACAATTTCTATTTTATTTTTTATTTATTTATTTATTTTTGAGACGGAGTTTCACTCATGTTACCCAGGCTGGAGTGCAATGGCGCGATCTCGGCTCACCGCAACCTCCGCCTCCTGGGTTCAGGCAATTCTCCTGCCTCAGCCTCCTGAGTAGCTGGGATTACAGGCACACACCACCATGCCCAGCTCATTTTTTGTATTTTTAGTAGAGACGGGGTTTCACCATGTTGACCAGGATGGTCTCGATCTCTTGACCTCATGATCCACCCGCCTTGACCTCCCAAAGTGCTGGGATTACAGGCTTGAGCCACCGCGCCCGGCCCAATTTCTATTTTATAAATGAGAACACTAAGGCTCAGAAAAGTGGAGTGAGTTGCCCAAATTCACACAGTGAAGCCGGGATCGAAGCTAGTTACAGGGCCGAGTGCGGTGGCTCAGGCCTGTAATTCTAGCACTTTGGGGGGCCAAAGCGGTGGATCACCTGAGGTTGGTAGTTCAAGACCGCCTGACCAACACAGAGAAACTCCCCATCTCTATTAAAAATGCAAAATTGGGCCGGGCTTGGTGGCTCAAGCCTGTAATCCCAGCACTTTGGGAGGCCGAGGCGGGTGGATCACGAGGTCAAGAGATCGAGACCATCCTGGTCAACATGGTGAAACCCCGTCTCTACTAAAAATACAAAAAATGAGCTGGGCATGGTGGTGCATGCCTGTAACCCCAGCTACTCAGGAGGCTGAGGCAGGAGAATTGCCTGAACCCAGGAGGCGGAGGTTGCGGTGAGCCGAGATCGCGCCATTGCACTCCAGCCTGGGTAACATGAGTGAAACTCCGTCTCAAAAACAAACAAACAAACAAAAAAATGCAAAATTAGGCCGGGCGCTGTGGCTCACGCCTGTAATCCTAACACTTTGGGAGGCCAAAGTGGGTGGATCACCTGAGGTCAGGAGTTCAAGACCAGCCTGGCCATCATGGTGAAACCCCATCTTTGAAAAAAAATGGAAAAAAAAAAAACACGCAAAATTAGCCCGGTATGGTGGTGCATGCCTGTAATCCCAGCTACTTGGGAGGCTGAGGCAGGAAAATCGCTTGAATCCAGGAGACGGAGGCTGCAGTGAGCCAAGATTGTACCATTGCACCCCAGCCTGGGCAACAAGAGCGAAACTCAGTCCCCCCAAAAAAGAAATAAATAAAAGAAAAAGGCCGGGCGCGGTGTCTCATGCCTGAAATCCCAGCACTTTGAGAGGCCGTGGCGGGCGAATCACAAGGTCAAGAGATCGAGACCATACCGGCCAACACGGTAAAACACCATCTCTACTAAAAATACAAAAATTAGCTGCGTGGTGGTTTGCACCTGTAGTCCCAGCTACTCCAGAGGCTGAAGCAGGAGAATTGCTTGAACCCGGGAGGCAGAGGTTGCAGTGAGCCGACATCGCGCCACTGCACCCTAGCCTGGCGACAGAGCGAGACCCTCTCAAAAAATAAATAAATAAATAAACTAATTACAGTACTGTCTATTTCAAGTATAGATTTTAAAAATCTATACTTTTAAGCTTCTGGCTACGCTACATCTCTAAAAGTTTTATGTAGTTCAAATGTGAGCAGCGCTCCTCTACGCTGAAAAACCGAATAAGCAGCATCAATCGCGGGTAGAAACAAAATAGAACCCGCCAACATGGCGCCCCCACCAACCCGCAGAGGGTCGCTCACGTCATAACACTGCGCGGCCACCCCTCGCGCACCACGTGCTAGGGGAGCAGGCGGGCGGATAGCTGAGTCTTCAACCGGGAGGCGTGCCCTATTCATCCATGGCGCAAGATGGCGCTGCCCTTTGCACGTTCTTTGCGCGTGTGCCTCTGGGGAGCCAAACGATTGGGAGTTGCCTCCACAGAGGCCCAGAGAGGTAGGATTATCTCTTTTTACTCTTTTTTACCTCCAGAATGGCTTCCGTCTATTTTCCCTAGATCCCACTCCGAGAAGCAACTCCAACCCTCTCAGGTCTTTCCCTTCCCCCACCGGCGTTGGTCCCGAGATTCCCAAACTTGTGACACCATTTGGTTTCTTTGAATCCCGGAACTTCCTCAATCCGAGTTTTTCGACTCCATAAGCTACCCATACTAAAGCGACCCACTGACTGTCTTGACCGCGTGGCATTCTGACTCTTCCCTAGTTGCTCGTGTCTTATGACTGCCTGCTTCAGATCTGAATATATCACTAGCCCTAGGGTTCTCTAGCCCTGTTATTATCCCGTCTTTTTGCTCTGCCCGCAGGCATCAGTTTCAAACTGGAAGAAAAAACTGCCCACAGCAGCCTGGCACTCTTCAGAGGTGATACGGGTGTCAAATATGGCTTGGTGGGATTGGAGCCCACCAAGGTGGCCTTGAATGTGGAGCGCTTCCGGGAGTGGGCAGTGGTGCTGGCAGACACAGCGGTCACCAGTGGCAGACACTACTGGGAAGTGACAGTGAAGCGCTCCCAGCAGTTCCGGATAGGAGTGGCAGATGTGGACATGTCCCGGGATAGCTGCGTTGGTGTTGATGATCGTTCCTGGGTGTTCACCTATGCCCAGCGCAAGTGGTACACCATGTTGGCCAACGAGAAAGCCCCAATTGAGGGTATTGGGCAGCCAGAGAAGGTGGGGCTGCTGCTGGAGTATGAGGCCCAGAAGCTGAGCCTGGTGGATGTGAGCCAGGTCTCTGTGGTTCACACACTACAGGCAGATTTCCGGGGTCCAGTCGTGCCTGCCTTTGCTCTCTGGGATGGAGAGCTGCTGACTCATTCCGGGCTTGAGGTGCCCCAGGGCCTCTAGTATGTCCATACTGGAGTCCCTAATCACACTCTTGGCCAGCTTCCTTTTGAAAGTGTCTGAAGCCTTTTGACTTTGCCCCAAGCAACCTCTGGCTCCCACAATTCAGTGTTGGGTCTTCTGTGCAATATCGTAATCATCTTCCTCATCCCCTACCTTGTGAAAGCTAGGCATACAGCCAAACCCTACTTCTCCCCACCCACCAACTACTGCCAGTTTTCCTGGGCTACCATGTGTGTATCTTCCCTGACCTGCTTCCCTCAGTTCCTATGCCTCCCTTTGCCCAGGCCTTTCTCAGACTGTATTCCATCCTGGGGTCTTATCGTTCAGCTTTGTTTGAATTTATTCATCATCGTGATACCTCTCCCTCCCTTTGTCCACATGTAACTTGTTTGTTCTTGGGGCTCTACCAGATCTCTCCAGAGTAAATCCTTTCTACCTCTGGCTGAAGAAGTGGTGCAGTCAATGACTTGACCCTTTCTCTACAGCACATTCAGAGTTTCGGCTCTGGATCCCTCAGTAAGTGCTTTATTGACTCAGTGTGTCAGAATGAAAACAGAGCCTTCCTTCCTCAGTAGCTCAGTGCCACAGACCTTCAGCCCCACAGAGCTGTGGCTATCCTTACCCTGAGTCCATCTACCTTAATCTATACCTCTGACACCCAGCCAATCTGTCATAATCATTATGCCAGTTATAACCATGACCAAAGGGGAAGAGACACATGGGGTATATCTAGGGGATGAGTGCTAGAAGAAACTGTTTATTGTTTTTTTTTTTTTTTTTTTTGAAAAAAGTTACTCTGTCACCCAGGCTGGAGTGCAGTGGCACCATCTTGGCTCACTGTAACCTCCACCTTCTGGGTTCAAGCAGTTCTTGTGCCTCAGCCTCCTAAGTAGCTGGGATTACAGGTGTGTGCCACCACACAGGCTAATTTTTATATTTTTAATAGATATGGGCTTTCTCCATGTTGGCCAGGCTGGTCTCGAACTCCTGGCCTCATGTGATCTACGTTGGCCTCCCAAAGTGCTGGGATTACAGGCATGAGCCACCGTGCCTGGCTGAAACTGTTTATTCTTGAGAGTTCCATCTTCATTTCTGCTACAGTTGGAACTTCCTGAGGAAGGAGGGAGGCCTGAGGTTTTACACAATCTGTTTCAGAGCCTGTTTAGACTCAAACCTATACTTCCCTTGGCTGCAGAATACACTTAACCTAAAGCAGTATTTGGAGTAGAGAAAAGCCTGGTGGGGTAAGTGAATATGTATTGTTTGGATTCCATCTGACCCTGTGGTTCCATCTTCTACCTTCTATGATGGCAATGAAGCTAGATACCCCTAGGGAAGAAAGGACTGGGTTTAGCAAAAATGATTTGATAATTAAAGTTTATTTGAACATAAAATACTTTCTCTGTCTATAAAATTGCTGTTAGCAGTAGCAGCAGCATCTCCTGGCCAAGGGGAGTAGATCTTTCCAGACTACTAAAGCCATATATACAGCCATTCCCACTTCCCTTATTCTGTGGATATATACATGTGCATGGTAGCTAGAGTCCCTCCACCAGAGTGTCTCTCTCTCATGATGGTTTCTTCAGGCAGAGGAAGAGGAGACCTGGTTGAAGACCTGGGATGGTTTTGAGTGGGGCAAGCCATTTGGCTGTACTTTGAAGCCCGCTCTCTCTGGATAGCTCTACTGCTATCCAGAGATAGCCCTTCTCTGTACTCTGTCTGCTGAGGGGATGGGGTATTTTGACTCTCATAGAAAGCGGTACCCCAAGTTACCAAATGACTGCTTGGTCCCGACTGAAGCAGTATAGCTCTCCATAGCATTTTTGGTGGGTATGGATTACATGTGTGGCCAGCTAATGCTTTTTCTTGAGCGGGGGCTATCCATGACCTGTGCTCATACCATGCTCTCTAAGTTCTCTTTGGACAGGGCTTTAGCTGCTGCCTCAGCCTGAGTCTCGGAGGGTGTGTAGGAGTCCTGGTAATCTTGAAGCAGTTTGACCACCTCCAGATGGTTGAACTGTACAGCATCATCCAGGGGAATGTTGCCCCACCTGAGAGGAATAAGATAGGATCAGGCAAAGGAGACATGGAGAGTGCGGTGGTCGTATATATTTGCATGGTGGCTGGAGAATAGTAGCGAAGCTCTGCCCACCCTCCCCCACTTTTAGCCTAATCCTCACCTGTCCTTGACAAAAGGATTCACTTTGCAAGCCTCAATCAGGAATTTAACAACTTCAATGTGTCCTGGGAATATGGGCAGAAGGAAAATGAGAAGGCACAGGTCTTAAACCCTTTGGTGTAGACACTTAGCCACTGATTCTTATTCTTGAGAGTCTTTACCAAGAGGAGAGGGAAAAGGCCTCATCCCATTTTGTACCCTGCAGCACCCAGTAATAGTCTAGCTGCAAACTGAAGGGTGTCTGGATAAAACTAGTTGCTGCCCTATAATTTTGAGGGCACATATAATGAAGGTACTTTTGGTGAAAAAGAAAGGGTCTTATGATTAGCCTCCCCTCTTTAACCCTTCAGTACCTTCAGCTGCAGCAACATGCAGAGCTGTGCGCGAGTCATAGTCTTTCTGTTCCATATCCATGGCTGACAAGGCAAACCTGAGGGTAGTGGAAAGCAGCTAGAGTTGCCTAGATGAGACTGAAATCACTGGTGTCCTTTGTGAACTGGTGTCAGACTAGGTGAGTTTCAGAGAAGTGAAACAGCCTATACCCAGATTTGTAGGCTCTAAATAATCTTTGTTCTATACCCAGATGAGACTGTTATTCCCATAATAGAAAGCCAGTAATGTGATACTTCCAGAAGTATCATTCACTGCCTACCTGTGGTAAGTGCCCATGAGACAGGGTACCTACTTCCTACGACTCTGCTCTTAATAACAATGGCTAACATTAATTAAGTTATCATAGAGCAGGCAGTTTACTTTTTTAAAAAAATCTCATTTAAATGCAATCTGTATCCATTCTGTCTAATTCCAAAGCTGAAGCACTTAACTATTTTGCTATGTTGCCTTCTAGTAAAATCTGACCAGGAATATTTTATTGTGTATATTTGGCCACAGTAGCATTACCTTCGAAGAGCTGAGACATCACCACTATAGGCAGCAAATAACAGGTTGACCACAGTCTTGTTCTGGAACACAAATCATACCCACCTATGATTAATTGAACTCAGCTATACTCTGTCCTGTGACCCTCCTCCATGGATACTTAGTCAAGGGTATTGCTGAGTGTTTTGGAATGTTCTACTCTGAAATATTCTTAAAAACCACCAGGAGTTTTCCTTACCCGAACTTCTCCTCCTTCACGCCGTGGGTCTAACTTCCGAGCACAGTGCCTCAGGTTGTCATAGTTGTGGAAATTGAAGAGAGACACCAACTTCTAGAATTGTAAGCCAAAGATACTGTTTATTTACTCCTTATACTTAGAAGCTCAAGATTGCTCTATTTACTTAAAAGTGGTAGGCCGGGCGCAGTGGCTCACACCTGTAATCCCAGCACTTTGGGAGGCCAAGGCAGGTGGATCACCTGAGGTCGGGAGTTCAAGACCAGCCTGACCAACATGGAGAAACCCTGTCTCTACTAAAAATACAAAATTAGCTGGGCATGGTGGCATATGCCTGTAATCCCAGCTACTCAGGAGGCTGAGGCAGGAGAATCACTTGAACCTGGGAGGTGGAGGTTGTGGTGAGCTGAGATCGTGCCATTGCACTCCAGCCTGGGCAACAAGAGCGAAACTCCATCTCAAAAAATAAATTACAAAAGTGGTACCATGAAACAAATTTATTGCTTCAAAAAATATTAAGTACTATATGCAAAGCATCTCACCTGACAGAAGCTAGTTCCTCTATGACTGTTCCCCAGCTTGTCCAATGGGGGTGACAGACACATCATTCCCATGACATTGGGTACCACGAGGAGGATGGCTCCCGATACAGCTGACTTGGCTGGCAGGCCCACCTGGGGAACAAAATTGAAGCTGAGGATAACCTGGGTGTGCCCCAAATCAGAAAAGAAACGTATTAGGCTGTACTCTTAAGTTTACAAATGACTGCATGGCCACAATCCACCTCAACCTTTTGGGTTGTTAATTAGCTTCTTTTATTGCTCCTGTCCGTTCCTTCTCTTAAATTCACTGATTTAGCTAGAAAATATTTATTGAAATACTTAACAGCATTCTGTGCTGGATGCTGTGCTAGAACTAGGAACTTACATTCTGGTGTTAGGAGATAGGTAATAAACAGGTAAATAAATAGACAAGTAATTTTTTTTTTTTTTTTTTTTTTTTTGAAATGGAGTTTTGCTCTTGTTGCCCAGGCTGGAGTGCAATGGCACAATCTTGACTCACCGCAACCTCCACCTCCTGGGTTCAAGCAATTCTCCTGCCTCAGCCTCCTGAGTAGCTGGGATTACAGGCACGCACCACCATGCCCAGCTAATTTTTTGTATTTTTAGTAGAGACGGGGTTTCACCATGTTGACCAGGATGGTCTCGATCTCTTGACCTCGTGATCCACCCGCCTCGGCCTCCCAAAGTGCTGGGATTACAGGCGTGAGCCACCGTGCCCGGCCTTAGACAAGTAATTTTTAAAATAATTATGATAACTAGTGAGAAGAAGTAGGGTGCTGTAAATAGAGCTGGGGGGGGGAAACGTGAGATAGGGTGGTCAGAAAAGTCTTTGGAAGTGACATCTAAGCTGAGACTCCAAGGAGAAGAGCCAGCAATGTGAAGCACAATTCAGGAGCTGCAACATTTTTTTTTTTTTTTTTTGAAATGGAGTTTTGCTCTTGTTGCCCAGGCTGGAGTGCAATGGCACAATCTTGACTCACCGCAACCTCCACCTCCCAGGTACAAGCAATTCTGCCTTAGCCTCCCAAATAGCTGGGATTATAGGTGTGTGCCACCACTCCCAGCTAATTTTTTGTATTTAGTGGAGATGGCATTTCACCACGTAAGTCAAGCTGGTCTCGAACTCCTGACCTCAGGTGATCCATCTGCCTTGGCCTCCCAAAGAAATCTCTTTATATATTCGAGGAACTTGGTGTTTTTGAGAAACTTGCCTAAGGATTCTCAACCTAATTGCCTGCTGGAAGTTAGTGAATGAGAGGCAGGAACAAGCTTCCACCTCTCTATCTTCAGAGAGTCAATGTTCTCTCTTCTTAGCACTGGGCTTATGACGGATGACAGAGCCAGAAACTCACGTGGAAGGCAAACTGGCCAGAGAAATCATACATGCCGCAGGAATGCATGAGGCTGAGGGTGTTGCGCACTGCTTCAGCACTCAGCACACTTTCCCCTGTGATGGGGCAGATCCCGCCATTGGCGAGGGTGGCTGCCATGACACTGCCTGATTCACAGGTGACCTCCACAGAGCACAGCTATGAAAACAAAGAATAGGTGAAGATGTGATGTCAACCTGCACATGGTACTCTTGGCTGTAGAGTAGGAAAATCTGTCCTTTCCCTCACCTTGGCCCTGAGCAGTGTTTTCTTACCTGGAAGTAGAGATCAAGGGCAGCCATCATGTCCACTCCCTTAGGAAAGCACTGCAAGGAAGAGAGGGGAGAGCATTTCTCTTCAGGACATCAGCAGCCCTTTCACACTGTCAGGGTCTCAGCAGAAGCCTCCAACCCCACTGCCCTTCCACTAGCAGCAGAATTCCCAGGGACTTTCTCTACCAGCCTCTCCTGGTTACCTTTTTTTCCTTGAGATAATAGCCGATGGCATAATTCCGATCCCCTGTTTCCTTCTCTGACTGGAATCTGAAGCAAACACCCAATTTAGTACTTGAAGTTGGAGGAGTGGGTATTGGGAGAAGGAGAAAAATTACCTTCCCTGAGAGAGACAGAACTACGTCACACCACAAACTAAATGAACCCCTTATAAAACTTCTATCAGTAATATTAGAGGAAATTTCTGAACCTGAGCAAACATTCAGCATAGCTTTGTCATAAAGTAGACCCAAACCAAACACCCAGAACTGCCTAGTCATCTAGTCTAGGAAAACTGGTGACGTTTTTGGCTTTGAAAGTCTTGGCAAGAAAGGGCTTAGGCACAAACCATCACACTGCCTCTCTCATGTACGAATTAGAAATGGAACAAATTATTTTACAAGGTAAAAAAATGTTAATGAAGGGGCTCAGAGAAAGCTGGAGTGCCAAGGTTCCCCTGGGATTTCTTCCTTCTAAGATTCTCTCTCCCCCTTTCCTCTTGTCCCCCTCCTTTCAGTCAGTCCTCTGAATAGGGACTTACGTGGCATTGCTGAAACCCATGTATTCATTCCCAGCCATTTTGTTGAGATACTGCAACACCTGGAAGAGAAAAAGGGACATTGAGGCTCCACTTGACTAAGGACCTCTATTAATACCTCATAGGCTGACAAGCCCTTCTGAACTCAGGTCTTGTCAACAGGCTTTCCTCTCTGAGGCCAGTAGATTTCCATACTTAGGGAAATAAGGCTTCTAGTATGGGCTGGCGCGCCTGGTAATGGGGTTAGAGACAGCCACTGGGGCAGCTAGAGAGGACTGCATGCCATGGAGAAATGCAACCGGGGTTAAGTAGCAAGGGAACTTACAAAATCAAACTTCTCTGCTTTGTTACAGTCCATCTGCAAAGAAAGAGAGAGATGTCAGTATTCTAAATCCACGAGGATGGCAGAGGGACGAGTCAAGGATGTAGTGGAGTTAAAGTGTCAGACTGCTGCCGCAAATGTGTTCAATTTTATAAAGGCCTTTTTTTTTTCTTCTTAAAACACGGCACTTCCAATGGCTCTTCCCTTTCCTTTTTTTTTTTTTTTTTTTTTGAGAGAGTCTTGCTTTATCACCAGGCTAGAGTGCAGTGGCACAATCATGGTTCACTGCAGCTTCCACCTCCCAGCCTCAGGTGATCCTCCCAACTCAGCCTCCGAGGTAGCTGGGGTTACAGGCATGAGCCACCTTGCTGGGCCATCCCACTTCCATTTTCAATCCAAACCCTCATCCCTGACACCCACATTCATTTCCCTGACTCTAATCCTGTCCCCCAGCCCCACCCTATCCCTGACCTCCATCCTCATTCCTTACGCCTCATGCTATAGCTTTACTCTATCCCATTGGCCTGTGTGATGGTTCATACCTGTAATCTCAGCAATTTGGGGGGCTGAGTCAGCAGGATTGCTTGAGCCCAAGGGTTTGAGACCTGCCTGGGCAACATAGGGGAGACCCTGTCTCTTTTTTTTTTTAAAAAAAAGGTCCTATTTAGATAGGAATGGGATGTGGCAGGTCCCAGATACAGGTTTGTAGATGGAACCATCACAGAACAAGGAGAGACTCAGCCTCGTTTCCTCACCCGGACTCATTGCTTACTCATGTCAACTACAGAGTCAATACCACAGGGACTCTGACACCTGAGTCCCTGGGGGAAGGGTTCCTAACACCACCTTCCCCAGGAGGGGCTGTGATTGGCTCCAGGGTGTTGCTGCCCAGCTGTTCCCAGGTTCTTGCTCAAGCCCTGGGAGACCTACAGCTGATGGGCTAGTTTGACACCCTTGTTCAAGGCCAACTCACAGTTCCAGGTGACGTGAATAACTGCCCTGGCCTGGCCATTCACCCTTCTCTGCAGGTGTCCCACACCCAGAGGTGGCCAATCAGTGCCCAATAGTGCTGTCCTCCCCTTGTCTCTGGCATTTGGCCCTTGGTCCTAGGCAGGGGTCAGGGCGCACTAGGCTCTAGATTCATGGGTGGGGGCAGGGAACAGTACTGAGTGGGGATGAAATAGATGGTGCAGTCTCTTTTACTGATGTCCTCAGCATAACATGTGGGTCCCTGCTGTGCCTCATGTGCCTCCTGGGGACACTCAAAGAAATCAGAGCCCCACCAGTCTCCTCGGAGAGCTGAATAAATATGAGGGACACAGGAGCTTAGAGGATAATACTTATCAGAAGGTGACACTGACCTTGATTAGGGAGCTGACGACAATGGCACCAGCATTGACCATGGGGTTATGGGGAATTCCTGGAGAAATACAAACCACCAAGAGAGTCTTAGCCACCGAGCAAAGCCTCCCTGACAGCCCACTCACTTTGTGGGTCAGACAAGATTGTTTGCTGGGAAGAAAGGTATGACAGGGCTAATCAGGAAGGGAAGAGAAACAAAAAAGGCTGGGGGATGGGGTGGGGATAAGGAGAAGGGGACGGCTATAAGTATGGTCTGAGCCTTGGTGGTGCTCACCATCCTCATTGAGGGAGAGCTTGTTGTAGCGCAGGCCACTGGGCTCTTTGCCCACAAACTTGTGCACGTAGTCAGTGCCTAGGGTGCTTATGGAGATGGCATAGGTGAGGGGCTTCACACAGGACTGCAGGCAGAAGGGGATCTTTGTGTGGCCCACAGAGTGCCTGGAGGCAGACAAATGCCATGAAAGAGGTTGGCTTGTATTTGGCACCTGTGCCCTGCCTCCCCTTCCTCTTTGTCCAACATCTCACCGCTGACCATCCACAGTGCACAGGGAGACACCCCACAGGTCTGGGTTTGACTTGGCCAGTTGAGGGATGTAGGCTGCCACCTGGACATGAGTGGGTAGAGAAAAGGAAGATGGATGTGGAGAAGAGGAACAGAGTTGAGGTTGAGGACCAAGAAAATCTTCTAGATAAAAGCTAAAATTCTCTCTCCTGTAGGGCAAAAGGGTTCCCTCCTGCCTGTTGCTCCCAGAAATGCCCGAACCTTAAGTCCTAGAAGGCTGTATCTTTCTGTATCCCCAATCCTGTAGAGATGGCAGTAAACCCAATGGAAGTTAAAAAAAGAGAGAATTCTGAGGTCACCTCCTTTTGGTTCTTAGGCTCAATTACCCTGTAAATCTCTTTAAAGGCTCTATTGAATCTTCTAAGAATTGTGTATAAAAACACATGGAGCCATGTCCCCATTTACAGAAGTTCTGCTTCTCATCTCTCATTCATAGGATTCCCAGCCCCAGGAAATCTCTGAGAAGCAAGTTATATGTGAGCTGGGCACTGTGGCTCATACCTGTGATCCCAGCACTTTGGGAGGCCGAGGCGGGTAGGATCACTTGTGGTCAGGAGTTCGAGACCAGCCTGGCCAATATGACAAAAGCCCATCTCTACTAAAAATACAAAAATTAGCTGGGCATGGAGACATATGCCTATAATCCCAGCTACTCGGGAGGCTGAGACAGGAGAATCCCTTGAACCCGGGAGGCAGAGGTTGCAGTGAGCTGAGATTGCACCATTGCACTCCAGCCTGGGTGACAGAGCAAGACTCCATCTCAAAAAAAGAAAAAAAAAGATATCTGGCCCAGGTCCCTGACCCCTCCCTTAGTCCCCTGGCTCTCACTTTGCCTCCAGTGAGCTCTTTGGCATCCTCAAAGATGCGATCCACATGGCCCGTGAACTCCTCAAAATCAGGAATCACAAACTTCTTTCGGAATGCCTGGGTCAGGAGCACAATGTTGCTGCTCACACACCTGGATCCCAGACACGATTGGATTAGGGGGCTAGAGAGATGCAGCTGGAACTCACTCTGGAGCCATGGAAGTTGGGAATAAAGAAGGTTGTAGGTTCAGGTTTGGGATCAACAGCTGTGTTACATTTGGCAAATCAGTTTACCTTTCTAGGTCTTAATTTCCTTACCTCTAAAATGAGGGTTTTTTTTTTTAATATAAATCCAGGACATGCTAAGCTAAAAATGAGGGGTTTTAATGACATGGAAAGACACTATGTCTTGGGATGTGAGAAAAAAATAAATACCAGAATAATATGTATGTTATCTTGATATTTTAAAAATCCTAAATCATGAAAGTATATTTACATATATTCATGTATGTATGTAAATACATAGGACATTATCTAGAAGATACCCACTAATCTGTTAATACTGTTTACTTCTGGGAAAAGAAGACAGGGATTGAGTAGGAAGGGAAAGGAGAGCATGTATTTCCATATTGTTTGAACTCTTATAATGTGTATTCATGTATACCTTATGTAATAAGTAATGAAATAAAATGAGGAATTGAACTATACAATTCCCAAATTCCTCCCTGTTCTGAGAGTTTATGTCCACAGGACAGTTCTGAGAGAGCAGTGCGCTTGTTTCTGGGGCCCTCACTTTCGGAAGAGACCTCGATCCAAGAGGCCACCACTACTGGACTCTTGGACCACACGGTGCATCTCATTCATGCAGTCTCGGAGCCGAGGATCTGATGTCTGCAGTCCAGTGGCCTTTAGTGCCTTTAGAGGAAAGAAGAGGCCAGTAAGGTCAGCTACAAGGACAGTGTTATACTCCTTATAATCCTTCCCAGTGGACACCCAATTAGCTGAACCCCAACCACTACAACAGGTGGAACACATAGGTTTGGATAATAAGAAAGGAGGGGATGGAGCAGCTCTGAAGGCTAACAGGGGTTTTCTGTCCTTTTTCCATGAGCCAGGGGGTTCAATCTTCTGACCCTGGGGCAGGAATGGGCTTGTCAGTCTAGACATCTGGATTTTCATCCATCTGTGCGCTTCACCTACATGTAGCTACCCATTAGCTGCCCTTCACTTGTCATACCTTCCTTTCCCCACTTTCCAGAGAGCTTAAGGAATTAGGGTTCTCAACAGGCAGAGAGCAACTTACAGTGGTGAACTTGTGGATAGGGATTCGTTCCTGTCCTTCAGCAATAGTGTAAAAGAGCAAATCACCCAGGCGGGACAGCATGCCACTTTCTGATGAATCACTGTTTAGGAGCAGAGAATGGGGAGGAAAGTGGAGCCTGAGAACTGCCACCTGCTCCTCCTGCAACATGGACTTATAAATAGGTGAGCATCCTCATTCTATGCCTCCTTGAACCATCTGATTTAACCTTATAATTCTAACTTTCATGTCTGTCCTGAGAAGTTGTAGATCTCTTCCATAGATTTCTTTTACTCCTGACCTTCAGATCTTTATTTTTAGGTGCCTTCTGACACTTCCACTTACAGGTGCCCCACAAGCACTGAAAACTCAACATGTCCAAACCTGAGTCATCTCGCTGCCTTTACTCTTCTGTTTCCCACCTGGGTTAACAGCATTACCACCCACCTGGGTGCCAAGCTGGAAATGTGGCATAATTTTGATAATTTCCACATCTTAAGTCCATGCTTAGTTGGTCACCAACATTGGATGAATCTACCTCATAATGTCTCAAATCCACCCTCTCTTCTCCTTTTCCCTGTGCCAGCATGGTAGACCAGAGTTTGCCCCTTAATAACTGTGATCTTGAGCAGGTCGCTCAATATTGATGAACTTGCTTCCTTATCTGTAATACAAGGGTAGTAATGTCTACTTCACCTGGGTGATGTGAAGCTTAAGATAATATTCCATGAAAAAATGTCTGACACAAAGTAGATGTTCAATAAATCATGCTTATCATCAGCTTCTTATTGCCTGTTACCTAATTGCAACTACACTCTCTTGAATTTCAATCCATCTTTTTTTTGTTTTGGAGACCAAGTTTTGCTCTTGTTGCCTCAATCCACCTTCTAAAATGTGCCAGTGATCTTTATAAACTCAAATGTAATTTCTCTACTCAAAAACATTTGGTAGCTCCCCAGTGCCTAAGAATAAGTTCTTGAATTAAGAATTAGGCTGGGTGCGGTGGCTCACTCCTGTAATCCCAGCACTTTGGGAGGCTGAGGCGTTCAAATCACCTGAGGTAAGGAGTTCAAGACCTGTCTGGCCAACATGGAAAAACCCCGTCTCTACTAAAAATACAAAATTAGCCACATGTGGTGGAGCATGCCTGTAATCCCAGCTACTCTGGAAGCTGAGACAGGAGAATCACTTGAACCCGGGAGGCAGAGGTTGCAGTGAACCAAGACTGCATCATTGCACTCCAGCCTGGGCAAAAAGAGCAAAATTCTGTCTTAAAAAAAAAAACAACAAAACTTGGTAAGGCATTAAAACCTCTTTAAAACCTGCCAATTGGTGGGGCGCAGTGGCTCACACCTATAATCCCAGCACTTTGGGAGGCTAAGGTGGGTGGATCACCTGAGGTCAGGAGTTTGAGACCAGCCCGGTCAACATGGTAAAACCCCATCTCTACTAGAAATACAAAAATTAGCTGGGCACAGTGGTGGGCACCTGTAATCCTAGCTACTCGGGAAGCTGAGGCAAGAGAATCATCTGAGCCTGGGAGGCAGAGGTTGCAGTGAGTCGAGATTGCGCCACTGCATTCCAGCCTGGGAGGCAGAGGTTGCAGTGAGTCAAGATTGCGCCACTGCATCCCAGCCTGGGCAACAGAGTGAGATTCCGTCTCAAAAAATAAAAATAAAATAAATAAAACTTGCCAACTTAACTTTCCCTTTCCCCATCATGCCCACACACTCCAGATATAACAGATAATATAGATGGTTCCCCAAAATGGACTAGAGACTGTGAAGCTTCCTAGCCTTTGCTTATGCTGTAACTTCTACATAGAATGACCTTTGGTTAGCATGGTCCTGCTTATTTTTCACGGTCCAGATCAAATGTTCCCCAAACCTCCAGGTATTGCTTGTTTGACACTACACACCATCTTACTGATGGAAGAATATCCTTTGCTCCACTGTTAGGTCTTTGTGTTTTATACAACTTTGTCTTCCCAGCACTGAGCAAAGTCCCTAGCACACTGTGGGTCTTCAATAAGAATTACTAAATTATATTGCTAGCAAGGTCCCTGTGCCCCAAAGTATATCTCTGGCTTATAGTACCTAAAATTCCAGGTGCTGAAGACTTCTTGGTTTCTTCAGTACCTAAAATTCCAGGTACGGAATATTTCATGGTTTTCAAGATTTCTATTAATATGTTAAAAGATTTAGAAGAGTTATTATTATTATTTTTTTAAGTAGAAAAGGGGTCTCACTATGTTGTCCAAGCTGATCTCAAACTCCTGGACTCAAGTGATCCTCCCACCTCAGCCTCCGAGAGTGCTGGGATTACAGGCATGAGCCACACCATCCAGCCAAGCAGAGTTATTTTATCAGATTATTTCCAAATATGACAGCTAGTTGAGATTAAGACTCTTCAAAGATGTTTGACTCAATAATTTGATTTCCAGGGATTTATCCTACAGGTATACTTACATACCTAAAAAATAACATATTTACAATTTTTCATCACATTGTTTTGTTCTGTTTTGTGAGATGGAGTCTTGCTCTGTCACCCAGGCTGGAGTACAATAGCGCGATCTTGGCTCACCACAACCTCCACCTCCCGAGTTCAAGCGATTCTCCTGGCTCAGCCTCCTAAGTAGCTGAGATTACAGGCACGCACCACCACACCCAGATAATTTTTGTATTTTTAGTAGAGATGGGGTTTCACCATGCTGGCCAGGCTGGTCTCAAACTCCTGACCTCGTGATCCACCTGTCTCAGCCTCCCAAAGTGCTGGGATTATAGGCGTGAGCCACCTAGCCCTGCCTTTATCACATTGTTAGTAAGATTAGAAATACGGTGGCTCACGCCTGTAATCTTGTCACTTTGGGAGGCTGAGGCAGGTGGATCACAAGGTCAGGAGTTCAAGACCAGCCTGGCCAACAAGATAAAATCCCATCTCTACTAAAGATACCAAAAATTAGCCAGGTGTGGTGGCATGTGCCTGTAATCCCAGCTACTTGGGAGGCTGAGGCAGGAGAATCGCTTGAAACCGGAGGCAGAGGTTGCGAGACGAGATCGCACCATTGCACTCCAGCCTGAGTGACAGGTCGAGACCCTGTCTCAATAGCAAACAAACAAAAAAGGCCAGGCACAGTGGCTTACGCCTGTAATCCCTGCATTTTGGGAGGCCAACGTGGGTGGATCANGGGAGGCTGAGGCAGGAGAATCGCTTGAAACCGGAGGCAGAGGTTGCGAGACGAGATCGCACCATTGCACTCCAGCCTGAGTGACAGGTCGAGACTCTATAAAAAAAAAAAAAAAATTTAGACCTGATGTGCAATAGGGAAAAAATTGCACCTGATGTGCAATAGGGAACTGGTTAATTATGGTATATTCATATAATGGGATATTATGCAGTGTAAAAAAAAGAAATTGGGGCATGCTCTAAGTATTGATATGGAGTTATCTCTAAGATATAATATTAATTAAAAGAAGCGTGTCATAAAACAGTATACAGAGTATGGTAGTATTTATGTTTGTTTGTTTGTTTTTAGAAATGGGGTTTAACTGTATTACTCAAGCTGGCCTTGAACTCCTGGGCTCAAGTGATCCTTCTACCTCAGCCTCCCTAGTAGCTGGGACAGCAGGTGCATGCCACCATGCCCAGGTTTATTTATTTTTATTTTTTAATTTATTATTTCAATAGGTTTTTGGGGAACAGGTGGTATTTGGTTACATGAATACGTTCTTTAGTGCCAGCCTAATTTTTTCATTTTTTTCTTTCTCTATCAGCTTTCAGCATAGCTTTAAAAGGGAAAAATATATATGTGTTTGCTTATTCAGGCACAGAATATTTCTGGAAGAACATTTAGTTAGAAATAGGTAAGACTGGCTGGGCGTGGTGGCTCACAACTTTAATCCTAGCACTTTGGGAGGCTGAGGTGGGCAGATCACAAGTCAGGAGTTCCAGACAAGCCTGACCAACATGGTAAAACCTCTGTCTTTACTAAAAATACAAAAATTAGCTGGGCATGGTGGCACATGCCTGTAATCGCAACTACTCAGGTGGCTGAGGCAGGAGAATTGCTTGAACCTGGGAGATGCAGGTTGCAGTAAACTGAGGCAAGAGCGAAGTTACACTCCAGCCGGGGCAAGAGCAACACTCTGTCTCAAAAAAAAAAAAGGTAAGACTGATTTATCTCCTTCTTTGGAGATGACGTAGGTGCTGGGAAAAAGGGATGGGAGGGACACTTTTCACTATTTTTGCATATTTTGAGTTTTGAGCCATATGGAATATATTATCTGTTGAAACACTGTATTAAAAAATAAGACTTGGCCTGGCATGGTGGCTCACTCCTGTAATCCCAGCACTTTGGGAGGCTGAGGCAGGCAGATCATAAGGTCAGGAGTTCAAGACCAACCAGGCCAACATAGTGAAACTGCGTCTCTACTAAAAAAATAAAAAATAATTAGGCGAGCATTGTGGTGCATGCCTGTAGTCCCAGCTACTCAGGAGTCTGAGGCAGGAGAATTGCTTGAACCCCAGGAGGTTGCAGTGAGCCGAGATCATACCACTGCACTCCAGCTTGGGCGACAGAGTGAGACTTCAGCTTAATAATCATAAGACTCAAGCAGCTTGGCATAGACTAGGCATGTGTGTGTTTGGAGCCAGGAGGAATACCAGAAAAGGGAATACTAGAAGAGTTTTCCTGTTTCTGGGGAAATCTGGTTGTCACAAGGAAGCTAGTGCCTACAGGGAGGAAAGGAGGGAAAAAGCTATCTGAGGGATAACTCAAGAAGGAAAGTACATAGGAACACTTTGAAGGCAGGACTCTGTGCCTGGAAACTGACAGAAGACAGGAAATAATGCTATATGACTGAATGTATCACAAGCCTAAAAAAAACTGCATATCCCTCAGATATGGATTGATCACCAATGAAATGTTAAGGGAAAAGAAGCAAGGTACAAGAACAACGTGTATAGTATGATACCAAAAGAGGCTACAAGAACAATGTGTATAGGATACCATTTGCATAAAAAAAGGTAAAGTAATATCAGCATGTATTTTATGCATAAAATATCTCTAGAAGACTATACAAGATATCAGTGACATCAGATTATCTCTGGGGAGCAAAATTTCCTAGGAATTTACTCTAAGAAATAATTGAACAAGGGTACAAGAGTATATAGTAATCAAATTGAAGACTGGTTATATAAACTATGATACCTTATACAATGGAATCTTTTAAAATGACAAAATGACAATGTCATATGCACATATTCAATGATATTAAAAGCTGTTCATAAATGGAAAAGTTACCAAAGAACATGAATATTATCCCATTTTTATTAAATTACATATATATAGGATATATATGAATATATGACAATATTAATTGGTTATCTCTAATACTGGGATCTTTTTTAATTTTTAAGTAATAAACTTATTTATTTTTGAGATAGGGTCTCACTGTGTTGTCTAGGCTGGAGTGCAGTGGTGCAATCATGGATCACTATAGCCTTGAACTCCAGGGCTCAAGTGATCCTCCCACCTCAGCCTCCCAAGTAGATGGGACTACAGGTATGCGCCACCATGCCTGGTTAATTTTTGTATTTTTTTTGTAAAGACAGGGTTTCACCATGCTGCCCAAACTGAGCTTGGGTTTCAAACTCCTGAGCTCTAGTGATTCCCCCTGCCTTGGCCACCCACAGTGCTGGGATTACAGGTGTGAGCCACTGTGCCTGGCTCTAAATTTATTATTTTTTAATTGACACATAATTGTACACATATTTATGGGATACACAGTGATGTTTCAATACATATAATTGTAGTGATCAGATAATGGTAATTAGTATATCTACCATCTCAAACATTTATCATTTCTTTGTGTTGGGATATTTTCCTCTTGATACTCTATCTTATTTTTCTTTTAAAATCATAAATATGGGCTGGGCGCGGTGGCTCACGCCTGTAATCCCAGCACTTTGGGAGGCCGAGGCGGGTGGATCACGAGGTCAAGAGATTGAGACCATCCTGGCCAACATGGTGAAACCCCGTCTCTAAAAAAAAATAAAATAAAATCATAAATACGGCTGGGCATGGTGGCTCATGCCTATAATCCCAGCACTTTGGGAGGCCAAGGCATGTGGATCATCTGAGGTCAGGAGTTTGGGACCAGCCTGGCCAACATGGTGAAACCCTGTCTTACTAAAAATACAAAAATTAGCCAGTCATGGTGGTGGGTGCCTGTAATCCCAGCTACTCTGGTGGGGAGGCAGGAGAATCGCTTGAACCCCAGAGGTGGAGGTTGCAGTGAGCCGAGATCATGCCACTGCACTCCAGCCTAGGCAACAGAGAAACTCTGTCTCCAAAAAAAAGTCATAAATACAATACAGCTAAATATTAAACAAACAATAATCCACATAACAGCACATTTCCTCTTTGCTGTCCTCTTTCCTCCCCCAAACACAGGAACCCCACCCCCTCATGGTGTCACACTGCCAAAGCACGTCACTCCAGTGCTCTCAACCCTTTCTGCCTGGGGAACACTAGTCCAAGGATATGACCAGGAGGTTCCCTGGGCAGAAAAAACAAGGTCCCCTAAAAACACTTCCATCACCAGACTCCACAGGATAAGGAGGTATGTATAGGGGGAACCAGGGATACCTCTAGCTCCCTACTCTGCAGAAGGTGGACAAATGAGGGAAGTTCGGCTTTTACTGTATCCCACCATTACTTCTCCCATGGTGATTATCTGGAAGTTGGGGTGAAGACTAGAACAGGAGGGAGAGGGCTTATCCTTTAAATGTTACATGTCTCTTTGAGAAGAAGCTGATAGAAAAGTACCATGTAATATGGATAAGCAGACACCAAGACTATGAAAAAAAAGAAAAGGGCCAGGCGCGGTGGCTCACGCCTGTAATCCCAGCACTTTGGAAGGCCGAGGCAGGTGGATCACCTGAAGTCAGGAGTTCAAGACCAGCCAGGCCAACATGATGAAACCCTGTGTCTACTAAAACTACAAAAATTAGCCGGGTGCGGTGGCATGCACCTGTAATCCCAGCTACAGGAGAGGCTGAGGCAGGAGAATTGCTTGAACCCAGGAAGCAAATGTTGCAGTGAGCCTCGATGGTGCCACTGCACTCCAGCCTAGGTGATAGAGTGAGACTCTGTCAAAAAAAAGAAAAAAGAGAAGAACTGCATAATGTTATTAATAATAAATAATACCTATCGGTGCCCCTTAGGACAGAGATTCGAATAGTGGTGAGGTAGTGTGTCAGTATGGCTGCTTTACTGATAGTGTGCATGTTTCGGAGTGTCATCAGGGAGATGGCAGTGACGCTGGAGATGGCCCATTTCCTGTTCCTGCTACAGTAGAGCAAGGGCTCTTTGGACAGTGTCTGTGCTGGCCCTGTGGGGAGGACAAGATTTCCTGCTCAGCACCGTCTGCGTATCGGAGTAAAAGGCTCAGCCACCAAGTATGTCCTGGGCGGTGGGAAAGATAAAGGTTCGGCCTCCTGGGCGGAAGAAATACCCAAAGGAAGAGAACCTTTTAGATTCGGGAGCCTGAGCAGCACGAATAACGGCTCTGACTGGCTCTGGTTTGGGAAATCTGCGTCTTAAAGACTTTTCCTCCACTATAAATATTCTCCCCATTCAACAACCAGTTTGGAAAATCCCCCTATTCTACAGTTCATGGAGCACTGCTACGCACGCACCCAACACTTACGCACATACCTGCGCACCAATAATACACGCGCATCACACATCGCCCGCTGAGGACACGCAGAAATACACCACACAGAGCCCAGTGCACTTGGACCTGAGGCAGGAGGCTATTCCACACCCACACATCCCCTAAAATATACAAGAGGTCGAGGGAAGGTGAGGCCAGGCGGCGTGCGCCCGACCTTGTACTCAGTGCGCCAAGCAACACTCCGCACCCGTCTGTGATCCCGGTTAATCGCGCACCTTGGACAGGCACCATCCCCAGGACCCGCCTGCCCGAACGCACTCCCGGGCGGACGGCAGATTACCGCCCGAGCGCGACGCTCCCAAAGCCCCACATCCAAAGGAAAAGGCATCGAAGGCTAGTGAGCGAGCAGAGGGGCGATGAGAGGCACTGCCTGGGGAGGGCACTCGGGAACTAGCGAGAAACACAGTGGGAGTGGGGGCAAGCCAGTCCCCTGCCCTGACCCAGTTGCCTTACTGATCCCGGTGCAGCGGCTGGTGGCTGTGTGGCGTCTCTCTGCCCTGCGCCGCGGCCTCACTGAGGTGGTGCCAGACGCCCCCGCCAAGGAGAGGGCTCCGGCTCAGGTGACCCCAGTCTCCCCGCCGGCAGTGACTGCCGGCCCGGCTCAGCGCCTTCTGCAGAGCCTTCACGGAGCGCATGCCCCCAGCACGCCGCCGGCTCTGCCTGTGCGCCCAGGACTTCTGAGCGTTGACTGGGAAGGAAGGGCGGAGCTGGCGAGATAAGGTGCGGGGGAGCTCTGTGAGGGAGCGCTGGGCCTGGAAGATGGAGAAGGGAGGCCTGGTGGGTGGGGCTGGGGCAGGAGGAGGGGCCTGCCCCTTTAAAGCGGGCTCCGGGGTTAGGAGCACCCATTCCCTCAGGACCAGGGCTAGGTGAGGAGCGTCCGGGATACAGGAGAACCCGGGTGGAGTTCTAGTGGGTGGAGAGAGGGCGGTGCCTGGGAGCTAGAATGGACAATGTCCAGGTCCAATCACTGAGGAAGCAAAAATATTGAGGCAGGGAAAAGGTAAGGCTACCCAATGAGAACAAGGCGGTGGCCCCCTGCGACTGCTTGAGGATGCTTCCGCGCACGCGCTCTGTGAGCGCCGGCGTCCGCGGACACTGAGGGCGGGAAAGGCGAGGCCGAGCTGAGGCGAAGCTGGTGGGCGTTGGTGGGGCTTCTCCGGGACATCACGGGGCTGCGAACGATGGAGTTCTGGTGTAGAGAGAAGGATGTTGTCTTGAGAGAGGAGGCCTAGAGTGAGCCCAGTTCAGGTCACTTAGCCTCGACTTGCGAAGCCAAACCAGCCCTCCGTAACCCGGCGGGTAGCTTGGAGCGTGGCCGACGCCCAGTGGTGCTGAGTGAAGCGGAGGATGGCGGTCGGGAATCCCGGGCAGAAGCACCTGAGCGAAGCACGGGGCGGCGGGAAGGTCGCTCTGGAGGTTAGGATGCCTGGGTTCCAGTTTGTGTCCCTCTATCACTTATTTGGTGACTGTGTAGGACTTGTTTTCAAATCTGGAAAGTTAAGACATCAAAATAAGGTAGCACACAGGAAAACATTTTATAAACCATGAAGTGCACCCCACATTTTTCCTATTGTGTCTGCTTGCCCTTGTCCTCCTCACGGGCAGAAAAGAGGCAATTTACAAAACGAATTTTGAAAACAAAGGACATTTAGGACTTTTGCCATTTGCAACTAGAACTTTCACTTGTATCTCGGCAGTGCCTAACTCAGCAGCCATATTTAGTAGGGACTCTATGTAAATATTAGCTGTTACTGAGTGCCCATGGTGCGCCAACCACTTAGTTTCTCTCTCCCTTTACCAGAGGCCTACAAAGCAGTTATTATTAGTCTCATTTTGAAGATGAGGAAACTAAGGCTTGGAAATTAAGACTTCTCCTTATAAGGTAACCCAGCTAGTAAGTACCAGAGCCGTAAATTAGACCCCCGTACCCCCCCTCCCCGTTTTTCTTGAGACTGAGTTTCGCTCTTGTTGCCCAGGCTGGAGTGCAGTGGGGCGATCTCAGCTCACCGCAACCTCCACCTCCAGGGTTCAAGCGATTCCAATGCGTCAGCCTCCTGAGTAGCTGGGATTACAGGTGCACGCCACCACACTCTGCTAATTTTGCATTTTTAGTAGAGGCGGGTTTCTCCATGGTGGCTTGGCTAGTCTCCAGCTCCCGACCTCGGTCTCCCAAAGTGCTGGGATTACTGGCGTGAGCCATTGCGCCCAGCCCCGTTTTTTTTTTTTTTT